TTAATATTATTTCCCTTCACCAAAACCACTGCCATAGTAGCAATTGCTGTGAATGAGTAATGAGTTAGCCTGGCAACCATTCTTTCCAGTATGCCATGGTAATAGTTACCTTGGAGACGGAAAATATTTTCTTTTGTGACTTACGTACAGGGCTCACAAACCACTTAATGGTAAAAAAAACCACACACACACACACAGAAAAACAACGCAAAAGATGACGTCAATAATTTTTTCTTGAAATATTATTTTACTCTCAATTATTCCAAATTTCTGTGTTCCTTGATTACAGACTCATTTACACAGGATTAGCCTCGAATTAGGGTCTAAATATTCACAAATACCAACGGTAAAGTAAAGGATGCACAACTTCAACAAATATACAAACACTTTGAAATTTATGGACCTTCACATAACACATAAATATTCTGCACAAAATCGAGGCTAACCCTGAGTAAGAGAGAACTTGACAGTAGAGTATTACAAAATGTCTATTAAGATTAAAACTGGTCAACAATCAAATCGAGAATTTTTACTGATCAAGAATATTTTTGTCCGCCATTTTGATTTTTATGTTAATCGTTTCCGCTGACTAAAATCTGATCACTTTGCACTAGAATATGATATGGATATGATTATAAGTTAATGTTTTAAACCTTGTATCTCGGTACCGAAGTTTCGTTAATTCATGCGGGATTCCTGTGGATATGGCGGGAAACTCTAAACATGAAACGCGTACGCCTGTGTTTTGGCGGGAAAATTAGACAAGTGGAGTACAAGGTGAGCTAGTACCAAGTACACTGCAGATGGCAGAGCTGACATCGATGGTGAAGAACTTGCTTGTCTTCCTGCAGGAAGTGGAGCGAAAACTGAAACAAGAGAAAACAAATATGTAGTCTCTATGTAACATTGTTTTCACGGGTATAAATACGAATACAAAAGTGCAAGGAAATTTAAAAAAGCACTCTTAGTACCGGTCTTAATTTCGACAGGTTTATTTTTAGAAAGTAATTGTATATTGCGCGGTTAGCTCAGTCGGTAGAGCATGGGACTCTTAATCCCAGGGTCGTGGGTTCKAGCCCCACATCGGGCGACAAAATACTATGCTTTTTGTTCAACACGCGTTCATTTAAGGTGGAACCGAACTAATTCAGAGCGAACTTTGGACAATTTTATTCTCGCTCCCTTCGCAAAACTAGTGCGTCATCGATTTAACTGGATTTTTCATACAATGTGCTTGGATTATCCTAGATTCTAACAGTGTATTTTATTCCCCCCCCCTTTGTGAGATCGTGTGAAGCCAATTTCTGTTCTTTATGCTCAGTAGAATGAAATGGGAACACCTCTTTGTAAGCCAATCGCACCAGCTTTTTCTGTGCTGCGGCAATTCTGGAACCCCTCTTTTTTTAAATTCCTGGATCCGCTACACTGCGGAGCTTTGACTTACTTGGTTCAAGGTATTTGTAGCTGTGGACGGTGTCTCCGATTAAATTATCTCTTCCAGCGCACGAGTAATTCCCTCTGTCTTCCTCCACGACACGCGCGAACACAAGATGCAGTATAAACATTGTCTGTCCCATTTGTTTCTTGTACTTCGAAATTCTTAGGTTCGAATTCCGGGAATTCAGAGGTCTGGAAGGAGGGAAATGGACGCCGTTTTTTGTCCAGTAAACATAGTGAGCATTGTAAATTTCGCATGTCATGTTTAGCGGGGATCCGATGACAGCTTTGCTTGATCTGGGGTCACCATTGATAAGGATTCCCTTGTTGATAATGAAAAACGTGCGCTTGCGAGCTGAAGAAAAAAAATACAAGAATATGCATCTTATTCCAATTATAATCTTCTCTTCCATTGCAACTAGCACTATCAACTGAAGAAAGGAAGCTTATACCACAGCCGCCAGAGAATCGCACTAGCTGCATGGCTCTTGACCACATGTCTCGTTGAGTGTTCCATACCGATTGGAAGCCATACAACGGTGCACGCAAGAAATGTTCTATTCTTACCTTGTATAGTCACCTGACATGTCTC